CCTTCTTATACAAAACTAATGTAATTCAAGTCCCACTTTTAATGGAGATTTCGAACAAAAAAGAAAGAATGTGGTCCAAAAAGCAATGCTCTTTCAAGAAACCAGTTTTTAGGGCCTAAACTCTAGTGCAATGGAGTACTGGTCAAAGACACAAAAATCTAAATTTGGAAATATTTATGTGATGTGGGAAATCCTTAATATGCATCTAGTTGGCGAGTTTTGACATGAAGTACAATTAGCATTAGTGACGTCAGCATATATATATTTGCATCTAAATTTGTTTTCTTTGTATGGAACTTTATAGCGAATGTGAATGGCTTGGTGGCTTGATATATGATAATGTTATTTATTAAAGATTATATGCCACTTATTTCAGTATTAAAGCATGTTTTCATAGACTAGTTTTCAAATTATGCAAAGTACTAAATAACTTATTACATTTTGACTAAAATCTGAGTCTGCAGCTTCAAGGTAATACAAACTAATTAATCAACTGTACAGCTTCATATCCATTACCACCAATCAGCCAGAACTGGGCTAACTATATATGATTTGCACAGGCACATGTGAATTACATTAATCTCAGAGAACTGGACAGCCTTTGGCAACTATACCCGGTGCCGTGGGACACGTGGCGAGCGGGCAATGGTCATCAGCTTGTAGGCCCCACCAGTTTGGACCCATGATATCCTTGGATTGGAGGATGAAATATAGCAGAACTGCTGTGAAGGCCACACCAGCATCCAAAGCAGCAGAGAGGATATAGTTGTGCCTAGCCCACCAGCCCTTGTACTTTCTAAACACATAAAAGTTGAAGAAAATCCCAACTGTAAGCCATGTCAAATAGTTCACAGCCCTAGCAGGAGGCATGTAACCTGTGGCTCCAAGTATAATGGGCATGTTTATGAGCTTGATCCACCTTTGGTTGGGAAATTGTTTAGAGAGCAGCCAAACAGGGACAGGTGCCAATAAGCCAATGAGGAAGAACCAGTTGAGCTCTGGGTAGACTCCTTTGTCAGTGAACATTCTGAGGGGCCCAATGACACCCCAAATGATTGATGCATTGTAGAACACATCATCACCAGGACATGTCCATGGACTTCCCACTGGCAGCTTTGATGGATCACAGATGTGCTCAATGGTTGTGAGAAGCCACCAAGATGTGCCAAAGTAGACACTTGAAGCAACTATTGTTCCAACTAACTGAAGATTATTGCAAAAAAAAAAAAAAAAAGG